TCTGGGACTGTGTCGGTCTTCTGACAAAGTCAAGGAGCATCTGCTAGTGCCCCTCTCCGCCTGATCTGTCCCTTGACTTGATGGGGGCTCCCCCAGTGAAATTTGTCCTCCCTATAAAAATATGTCTAGTCCTCCCTTCTTCTGCCAATAGCTGTTTATGTAGGTCTTTGCACCTTCTTAAAAGACGAGGATTCTTATTTTTGTTCTAAGGTAGTTTTTACTTGCCGTTTACTGAGTCCCCTGCAACACAGTATGCACTTTAAATTGTATTGTTATTAGCATTGTCCCGAAGAGCTTTATCTGAATCTGTGACAACAGGTATTGCCCTTGCTTTGCAGCCCTGTGATATAGAGCTGAGAGCAACACGTAAGCAAGGTACTTGATGAAACAGCAATATCAAAATATGAAACACAGTTTAGAAGTCGTATGACAGGCAGATTCCACTAATTGTCACCCATTTGCTGTATGTATGCAAAGGTGTACCTTTTTATGACGATAGTTATGGCTATTTATTAGGTTTGCACATTGATGCATTCAGAATGTATGAAACGGTACTTTCTGTCCAGTTTTGTATAATCCATTTGTAATGATCAGCTATTAAAGTTTTTAAATACAGCACTTTAATGGTGTCTTCTATTTCCGATGAATTATCTTGAACTTATTTATGCAAAGGCTCCTTTGGACTGCAAAAATCTCTCAGGCTAAAGGCATCTGAGGAAGAACACAGAAAGGATTTGTATGATGCAAAGAAGTTTTCAAGTAAATGAAAATTAGATTCAGTAGCTACAAGGTCTTTGTGTTTATCTAGGGGTGTAAAAAATTGAGTGGTTTAAAAAGAATGAATAGACTTTCCCTGGGGGAGATGTCAGCAGAAACGTGTAGTCAACGCTACAGCTCACTCTGTGAGCTTTACTCGTGGATTCCTTCATGATTCTCTTTTGGGTTTTTTGTTGGTTTGGGGTTGTTGGTTTTTTCTCTGCCACCCGCGTCCCCCCATGCCACCCCACCACCACCACCATCTCGCCCTCCCAAGTGTACTTGGAAAGACTGGGACTCAGAAACCTGAAGTTTACTGCAAACACACACAGAGTGCTTTTAAGGATGATGTTCTCCCTCTTTCTCTCTCCTGTTTTCCTGACCACCCTTCTGTTGGCTGATTTGCAGTTTTAAAATTTGAGAATTTTGTCCTTATATGCAGTTCTTCCTTTTTTCACAGCTATCTGCCAGGTGGCTTCGTATTCCCTCTACTTTAATTATCTTTGTCAGCTTTATTTGACATTGTAGCAAGAGAAATGCTCTTGCTATAGTATCTCAACATCTTGCCAGCTGGCATCAGGGGAATTCTTCAGTACTTGTGAATTAGTTTGATGTCACCTGACAGTGAGAGCTTACTTAGGGTGTAAGATAAAGGTTCATGACCACAGCACCAGCATAGTGTTTTCTGCTGTGTATTCCATGTAATCACCATATGCAGTAGATATTTATCTGGTTGTACTTGCATCTTAGCATGAAATTCAGAAAAATCCTGAAGAAAAAGCTGAACACCTCTTCCAGATGGCAATGAAAATTTTTCCTGGCTGCCAGCTTACTGTAAAACAGGGTAGCCTTCTTGCAGGAGTAAAGCACATCACTGTGGCAATGCTTTAAGCCACTGCTGGTTCAAGGCAAGCGATGACAACATTTCTCATCTCATTTAGATTTCAGAAATACAGTCTTTTTGACAGCTGGCTTCCTACTTGTGTACCTCTGAAATTGCCCTAGATTAGCATAAAGGTCATTTAGAAGTCTGAAAAATGTTTGGAAAGACTGAAAGCATATCAAATAGCAGAACTCTGCCGAGTACTAAATCTAGTAATTTTGTGGTGAAAATGACTACCAAGAAAGGGCTTACGCAGATGCTGGAAGAACAGCAGTGTGTTGCCGCGTGGTCAGCTCTTCATTAGAGCCAGAACTCTGCTGAGAAGGAGCTAAAAGAGGCACCCCTGAATTGGTCACAGGTAGGTAACACTGCAGCAGCTCTCACATTATAGATGAACACACAATTTAGTGAGAAGTAATAGTGCCGTAAACCAGCGGAAAGGTGTAAGTCAGGAGCCAAAAAAGATGTTAGGGCTTCGAATCCATCTCCTGCTAGTGGAGGACTGCTCCCTGCAGTACATTTTCTCATACTTTGCCCAGTCTGCTTTTAAATGCCCTGGATAAGAGTAGTTTCCATAGTTTCCCTTGGGAGGAAGAGATGTTTAGTACCTCTCTTTGTCAGGAAGCTGCTGTTGGTAACCTGCCTGCTCTCCTTTTCCTAACTCCATCTCATTCGTCTGAATGATTCCCTGCGCAGCACTCTCAACAATGCTGGTCTTCATTTCTGTCCCGAGTCTGTGAAGGGATGGTGGCTGGTGGGGCCTTTATGGGCTCCCACACAGCTCAGAGGGGTCCCACACAGTCCCAGAGGCTGGTCGGTAGGAACTGGTGTCTCTGGGGAGCAGCCTGAAGTCGAGGGGGGTCCTATTCCCATAAGGTCCATGGGGCAGCCCCAGTGCAGTCTCCCTCTTCGGGCAGCTTTAGTCTAAATATGTCAGAGATCTTCCATGACAGAGCCTGGCATCTCTTTTTTGATGGCCTGTAGCCCCCACAGCATGGCTGTAAAGGAGGTGGGATAACCGTAGAGCAGCTGCCACCTCTATTCATCAGAGATTGCCCACACGGTAGGAAACAGCAGCCTTGGGTGTTTCCTAATTCTCAAACCTTTTGGATAGCCCTACTTTTCTTCAGTAAATAGGCATGTGCCACAGCACAGACATGTTCTACTCATTCACATATACTTAGACTTAGGTAGTTGCAGGTTGCAGAATTAACTTAAATTTTGTCTCTCAGACATATTGGACAGTCCCAGGTGGGTTGTGTCCTGCCTTTCTCCTTCCATTTTGGCAATCCTTGCTCTATAGCATAGGGCATACTCATGGTGTTCCAATGTACCAGTTAGTTTTCCTGAGTCCTGGCCCTGGGTTTGCTCCTGACAGTAAATACTGTTGGTGTTCAGTAAATCTGGCCTTGAAAGTACCTTAAACTATAGTGTAAATACCGCCAGAGAGTCTATGCTATGCAAATTCAGGTGCAAACTCAGGGTTTTACTTTTCAGACCTTTCGTGTATTTGTTGAATGAGAGCCCCTTCTCAGCCATCTGCCAGCCAGAATATATGGGACATATGCACAACTCATTTTTGTACCTATTAACACCAGCTGACAATCTGATCCATACATTTTACATTGTTTCTTCCAAGTTAGTTGCCACAACCTCCTGATAGGGTTGGTTTGGGTTTGGGTTTTTGTTTAGTGTTTGAATAAACTCCAGTTTGCCAACAACTTTCTGCCACCGTGATGCCTTTAGGAGAATAGAAAAGTCATGATGGCTCCAGTAGGTTCAGCACAACACTGCTGTTGGGTTTTGCACTCATAAACATGGGTGGACAGAAGCAGCAATAGCAATAATAGGAAAAACATACTGCCAGCTCATTCATCTTAATAAGAACTGGGCACATACTAAAAAGAGCACAGGAAGCGTATTTTTCCTTGCTCCACATTAACCATTTACTCACTTGAATGAGACGTCTATAGAAATGGCTTTGTCCTGTGCAAAGGAAGAGTTTAATAGATCTGTTTACCAAGACACTGCCAAGATCTTAATATGGCTGACTCAGTAATTCTTCTTGCATGCTTATTTAGCAGTTCTTAATACAACCTCATAACGGTATGACTCCAGATGTGAGCAAAGCCAAAAGAGCAGAGCATTCCCTCCTTTTCATACCATCCCTTCCAATGAGCTCCATGCCTGCATACACAGATGTAATGATTTGGTGTTTGGTACTTGGCTGTCATCCACCAACTCCTGGTTCAGCTTATGCCCGATTCACCTGAGAAATTTACATTCCTGAGAAACTTACAGACTACAAGGATTTCTTTCTATAACAGAAGTGAGCTTTTACATGTGTGCTGTTTGCAACATTTTGCTCTGCTAAACTACCAACCCTAAAATTTTCACTAAAGATTTAGCAGCTCTTCATTGCTATCAAAATTGCTATCCAGTCCTGAGAATACATTACTGACCTTAGTGGGCTGGCCATAATCTAACAGCAGTAATTTCACAGATTAATAATTTTTTATTATTACTATTATTCACAGTGTTTCCAAAAGCATAATAAAACATACCTCTGCTTACATTTTGAAAAAATAAATAAATTGTATTTTTCAAAAATTCTCCACCAGTTAAGCGGAAGGTTGCGTCTAGCAGATTCCTTCTGCAACTGAGAGAAGACTTACCAAGTGGTAATCACAGAGCTTACTGGAGAGTCATGTATAAAGTTTAGACATTATTTGAATTTTATGATAATTTATCTAGTTCAAATAATGTATTCTATTTACACATCTTTTTTTCCCTATGTTGCTGTTATTATAAGAAACAGCAAGATTTCAGAAGAAATAAAATAGGCATCAGTAGATTTTAATGGCAATCAATTGGCAAGGTCACTAGCAAAGGCATCCATCAGCTGAGTAACAGAGTGCCTTTGAAATATTAAGAAAAATACTGAACTTGTGACTGAATGATTAATTACTATTGAAAGGGCCTAATTTCACTAACCCTACCATTGTGGTCAAAATCTTACTCTTTAATTTATGGTGAAAACATGTGTTTCAATGCAGGAATGGCTTAATAAACTTAGCTGGGGAATGAGAACCGTATCGTAACTTCAAGTATATAACAAATAGCTATGTCAAGTTAGCACTTATTCTTTGGTTTGTGAAATTAAAAAGAGTAGAGAAAAAGAAAAGAAAGTTATAAATATCTAGACAAAGTCAACAGTTTTGAAGCCTGCACGTTGGAGGTTTTAATCTGAACATTGGTACACATTGAAATAAAATTACACTTGAATGAAAGTAAACTTGGAACAAATATTTTGAAATAATTTGTTTTCCAAAACAAGCACCACCATTTGTATCATTCTCACCTGCAGAGGTTTTCACAATTTCTGAAGTATTTCTCAGACCCATAAAGTCAAACTGATAAAGTCTCCAAGATTTCTGGTCAGCAGCCTCCACTGAGTTTTTTCTCCATCTGTAAATCATTTCCTCTTTAGGGTAGCCATCTAGAAATAAAATAAAAAAAAATTAAATATATATATATTGCATTCTGTAAAAATGTACTGCAAAACAGTATCTGTTCACTGATTTAGAGCTATTTGGGAATATTGAAATTTCTGATCTGATGCTTTCCCAGTGGGTTTTGTGGTATAATTCAGGTAAAGAGTTGTATGGCACACAAAAATAGAGTCATAATACTGGTAAAATTATGATTTTTCAGAATCATTTTTCTTTTCCAATGGAGAAAAATTCTGATTGGTTCTGTCAGAAGCAGATCTCTTCAGAGATGCAGTTGATTGTACTAAGTTGAGGTCCATACACAGGAGTATTCTGCTTTATGTACACCCTGAATAAGCTGTGCAAACCAATATAATGCAAAAAAACCCAGGCTGTTAGTGTAATATGTAAGCAATTGAAAAGGACAGATTGTTTTAAAAGTGACAATAGTTCCAATGTGGTTGGTGCTACTGTACTTCTGAAATGAGCTCAATACAGTGCAAAAAAAAGCCATTTTTTAATTACTATGGGATTTTTAAAGTGATTATACCATCATATTACTTCTAAAGGTTGTGGTATTTAATGAGACATCACCCGATCTCTACAGCTGAAACAGCTTCTGAAAGTCTTCCTTTATCAATTTAGCACTCAGTAGTCATAATTAATCCTCATGCCAATATTTAATTTCCTTTTTGTTAGAAAATGGCATTTTCCGATAGAAGTCCAACAACAAATCTTCAACCAGCCTAATCCATAATAATAGAACATCTAGAAAACAACAGCACGCCCATGCTAGTTAAAACTAGATTGTTCTCTAATGCATAATACAATAAATGCCTATTCATCTAATAATTAATATAGTAGCTGTAGATTGCAAGGCAAATTAAAAGCCTAACAACAATACCCAGTTAATATAACTGTCTCAGCTGTAATGTTTTTTTCCCATTGGATACTGATAAATTTTGATATTTGCATTACAAAACAACTTCTCTGGTCATGGTGCTATTTCGTTGATATTTTCCTCCAATGAGTGTCTTCTTCATCTTGTTTAAGGTTCCACCCTGCTGTGGCACTGCTGTAAGGTGTGCGTGGCCTCGTTTATCCCTCTCACTAACACAGCATGAAAAGTACCCACCAGTCCCTCCATTCTAATCTGGAGAAAATGACTATGTGTTAATTCAAAATGCCACGTTCATACATTTCCCATCAATGTAAATAAAGAAGTAACCCATGAAGGGCCCGACTGAGTAACAAACACAAGCCCTGCCGTTCTCCACAAGAAGTCTTGCTGCCAAGCAGATTTCACTGCCAATTCTGCTGTGCCAACCTGCGAGACTGATCTAAAGGTTAATTTTTTTTTGGCTAGCAGATTATGTCAGAGGATGCAGAGGTACAGTGAAAGAAGTCAAGCTGTACAGGGCCTCTGAGCCTTAACCCTGCATCCTCTGAAATCTTCTCTAGCCTGGGTCCTATTTGACTGAGCCCTCTGGCCACATTTCTGACCAAATAGTGTCTCCCTCTAATGGAAAGCCCTACATTTTACCTCAGGAAACTTCTCAAACCATTTTCATTTGTGGAGACTCTGATATCTTTTCCCCGCAGTTGCGGAGGGAAGAAGCATCAGATGTCCTCCTCGCCGTGCTGTGGCTGCTGCGCCCTGATGCCGGCTGACGGTAGCAGAGCTGCCCTGCCCCCACAAAGCAGTATCAAGACCACAAGCGGGGCTGCCGTGCGGTTTGGGTCCTAATCCTACCTCCTGATTTGCCTCCTGATGTGGAGGAAAGGAAACCCTTGCCCTGTTGCATTCCCTGCACCATCTCCTGCTGTAGAACTTGTGGCTCCAAGCGCCAATTTGCAGATTTTGTAGCAGGGCAGTAAATGGGACCCCTTTTCTCAAGTAGATTTCACCATAATCACTGCAAGTAAAAATGTTTCAAATATCCTGGAAGCAACAAAGCTTGGGTTTTTTTTAATATATTTAATTGATCTGAAATAAACTTTTTACATTTTTTTTCCAAATTTTACTGTAAAAAATTATGTCAATTAGTTTTGAATTCAATTTTTTCCTGATTTTTTGGCTTTTTTTTCATCCCATGGCTACTCCATCAAAATTCCATTACAAGCTTGAAAGCTTGCTATCATATTTATCCAGGGCCTAACTGTTTATCGTGGCACAAGCAGCATGTAGTCAGGAACAAGATCATGAGACTCTCATCCTTTTTCCTATATTTTTGCCTAAGAAGAGACAAATTCAATTTCAGAATAACTACCTACTTTTGAGTATTATTCATCGTCATTAAATAGTAAGCAACTGACTTTAGGAGACCATCATGCCCATTCAATAGTAGTCTCCTTAATCCACAGTCGCTGACATCTGCACTTACGATGGTTGGGTTACTTACATCAAAGGAAATAAGTACTAGTGATTCAATGAGAGTTGTTTCAACCTCTTAAATAACTGCTATTGTGTTCTGCTCTGGTGCCAGGTGACTTCCCTTTTCAATTCATTTAAAAGATACAAGATTTCTTGTGGAATAATGACACATCTACTTGAACAGTAGATCACTCCTAGGATTCATTTAACTTACAGAATGGACTATTCATGATGGTCTTTCTATCCAATATTTCTTGTATACAGCCTAATCGCTTCTAGCCCTCTAAATGCTTCATTTTAGAACTGGAGACTTCCGTACTTCCATGAGAAAATGAAACCTCTGCTGTTCAGCCTGCAACGCAACTACAAGTGTATTATCTATAGAAATGTCTGTTTCCTTTCACTTCCCCAGCATGAGAAATAGCAGTAGATTACCTCAAATCTTGACCTTGTGGCTTCAAGCCATCCATGTTGAACAAATTGCTATCAATCAAGTGTATTTACCCTGTCAGGTTGCTTTAGGTTATGTAAGAATATCCATGCTGCAGCCAGGCAAGGCTCCAGGAGATCCTGGAGGCTTTCCAGCAGGTGCCAGTAAGGCAGCGAGGGGGACAGCATGGGAAGAAGACAACCACAACAACCAAGTGTGTGCTCTGTGTTAGAGCCATCCAAGTTGTGGCAACCTGCAGCTCAGGAGCTTCTCAAGCAAAGTCTGTGTCAACACCTTCATTTTCCCTCCCATGAATTTATTTGATTGCCTTTAAATTCTCCTATTTTTCAGCCTGGTGGTTATTTTGTAGGCTGTGCTGTAGCTATTTGCATCTTCTGCAGGTTTTAGATTTAAATACTAACATGTCAAAGACTTAGAGAGCACCTTGACCATTTGGCTTTTTGTAAGACTGGTGCTACATGCCTTTGTAAAATCAAGTCAAAAAGAATTTGGTTAAGCTATTTCTTTAAGAGCTCCGTAGAAAGTATCCATGTAATAGCTCCTGTTTACTTTCACCAAACCTACTAATGTAACAGTTAACATAAGCTATTGGTACCTTTGTTGCTTTACTTATAGGCTTAAGCATATACATTTTCCAAGTGTACCACTGACTTTAACTCCAATAATGCAAACATGGATAAATAATACATGCACTTTTTGCTGTTTTGGAGGTGAACTTATTATAACAGAAAGCCAAATTGTCATGACAACCTGTGAGATTCTGTGGATTTTATATCCTCTTTGTTACTGGAATAATTGAACTCATGTTACCACATCTTCTCACAGCATCACCATATAATTTATAACTGACAGGTTAAAAATATTTAAACTTCATCTTCATACTGCTTCATTTTCTATGGAGGCTGTGCAGAAGCCTCCAACAAAATGCTGGGAAAATTGTCATGGCCAGAAAGATCTCCAGGCCGGATGAGATGCATATGCAATCACAAGATAGCTGCGAGAATTGATGTCAAGTGTCCCTGAAGCACATCTGCTACAGGAGTCAACACTGATGGAAAATAAGCAACTTCCATAATACAACCGTTGATATATACATGCCTGTCAGTGCATACTGCCTCTAACTTTGATTTCCCCAATGCTGTTGTTGGTCTGGGCATCTTAGATCAATGCTTGAGTCTTTGTTCACCCCCTTTTGTGGGATAATGGGTCTATTTTAGGAAGAGAGTAGAGATGGGAAGAAGATGGCATCATGGGGGTCACGTCAAAAAAGACACAGACTGCTTGAAGAACTTGTTTCCATCTAAAAAACTTTCTTTAGAAATTTATCCAAGACATGGAAAGACAGAGAGGCATGGAAAAAAAACACCCAACCTCTTTCATCTCTTCAGACATATTTTCACCGCTCTGTGAAATGAGTTTATTTTACTGCTGGTTCCTCACGCTGTGTTCAAACATAACACAGGCAGACACAGCTCGTAGCAGAAGCATAATGCAATAAGGCTCCTTCTAGCCTTGGAAAAATTTGTACGCTGAGAGCATGCAATGAGGAGTTAATGAAAGCAGCAGCAAAGCTGAAAATGTGGGGGAAATAGGCAAGAAAGGATCAGTTCTGTTAAGTATCTGACAGAAGGCTGATGCTTATGATGGGAGTATATCTTTGAAAGATACAGCTGGATTCTGGGAAGCTGGATTCCAGGGGTGTTAGATATACAAAGTCAGAGGAAAGCATGTTATGAAAGACAAGCTGTTGCCATCAGCTCATGATCAGAGTTTACATCACAAGAATGGAGGGAGTGTGGTAGATTTGACTGATGCTGATGAAGGTGGTCAGGAGAAGGTGGATACCCTGATGCAATTAGAGGCAGGCAATGATCAGCCCTTCACACCTTACAGACAGCTGCTTCCAGACATTATTTGCTTCCTCAAATGCTACCTAGTAAACCTTTCTTCAGACTAATCGAGAAACTCCTGTCAACACAGCCTCAGTCAGATGAAGAGGGAAACCCCTGTCAGCACAGCCCCAGCGATATGAGGCTAACGAAGTACAGAAATGCACCTTTCTCTGGTGCTGTGTTGTGGATGACAAATCATATGCTTCCACAGAAGCTGCCTGGGCTCTTTTTCTTGTTAGCAGTCTTTATAAATGCTTCTTTTTCAGCAGGCAAACTGCGTTTTTAATCCAA